ATGACAAATGTTTTTTTTTCAATCATTTGCAAAAGAAAGAGAGAACTATGTAAAAGAAACAATGATAGATAGTAAAATAAGAAATAAAAAATAAATGAAAACAATATAAGGAAAAAATATAAATTGCACTAAATTTTAAAATTTGCATGCAAAAAAAAAGCTTTGAATGGTGGCTGCAAACTTTAAAAAAATCACTCTGTAATTTTAAAATTTTTAACAAAATATGTTTGATATGAATTGTAATCTTTCAAATTAATGCTTTATTAAATTGAAGAAAAATTTTAATCGAAGAATCTTACTGAAATATGTTTGATATGAATCATGATCCTTTAAGAACGATAAATTGAAAAATTTTTTTTTGATATCTAAGGAACAATAGATTATTCGTGCCTACTTAGCGTCATGTGCACTTGATAAGGTTGAATTGATCTTTGGTGAATGATTTTTGATTTGTTAAAGTGATAGCGGGAAAACTTACTTAAATTATTACTAATTAAATAATTAATTTTCGGTCAGAATTTACTACCTCTACTGGTTTTGCTCTGTCCTGAAATAGAAAAATAGCTGTATTATTTGTCCTCAACATCAAAAGTTAGAAAAAACAGATGAGGTTATTGGAGTGTATTGAAAAAGGGAATAATTGCGGGATAAATTAAAAATGCAGAATTAAATCATTTCTCGAGTAGTGTATTTAACATTCAACAAATTCTCTCACACTTGAAAAAAAACCAAAAAAATTCCAAAAAATTTGCATAAACATGCTTGGAATTTAAATATAATTCTTGTGGTTTTTTATTGATGTAATTAAATTCCTTTTTTTTAGAATTTTGATGGGAGTCTTCCAGCATCATTAATCATAACTGAAATATTAAATGCAAATTTGTTTGAAGCAAATAAATTCACTCAACAAATGATCCAAGAAACGCTTTATTCATTGGCACAAAATGGTTCCCTTCTTGGCCTTACTAATTTACTTGTTCTTGTATTGGTATGTTTAGTTATTGTAATGGGAAAAGAAAAAAGAAATCAAGAAAGAATTAATGCAATATCATTCATGGAATGTATTTAAATAGGAATTAACTTATTTTTAAATATCAATTTTCCTAAAACTTTCTGAAATTTACATTGCTAAGATAATTGGAATTGTTATTACTAAAAATAATCACAGTAATCACAATTATCAAAAATAATAGAAATTGTAGTTTTTTTTGTTTAATTGTATCGTCATTGTAAAAGTTACGATAATTATCGGTGCAATAATTAATAGCATTATGGAAATGGAATTATAATATTACTATAAAGATTACGATAATTTATGATAGTAAGCAGAAATCACTATTATTTAGGTTGTTATCAATCGTTCAATGGCGGGTAAATCAATACGACTATCACGGAAGTGTGTAATTTCAATTTTTTCACTTGTTTGGATATTTCTATTCATTACACATCTCTCATTCTCCTCCCTTCAACTTGCAGCAATTCATTTTATTGGTCAAATATTTAACACTTTGAAAAGTCGTCGACAAGAAGTTCAGTGTAACGAAATCAGGTTCAATTTTTGAATCGAACTATAAAATATAAATGTTCATTATTATAATTGTAATCAGAATTATGATAATCATAATAATGATTTAAAAAAAGATATAATCATTCATTTATCATCATGCTACGCAAACTATCTTGATTATAATGGAACTGATTGATAAATTATTAATTTTTAACTTAAAAATAATTATTGAATAGAATTTTAATTCACTACTGATATTGTTCAGTATTATCGAAATAACTCAGATAATAATCATACAGAGAACTGATAAAATTGTATATATTAGTTTCAGTTCAATGCTTTCTGACTACAATGTTTTTGGTGATCTTTGCGATCAAATTTTACCGTTTCACAATTTTGGCGTTTATTTATTACGTGGTCACACGCTTTTCACACTAACTTTTCTAGTAATAGCACTGGTAATATTTATTGTGACAGTTTGCTATCATCGTAATGTACGTCGACAAAACAATGTATTGAATGAAGAAATACGGTTCATTTTGTGTCAAATTTTTTCAATAAATATGATTTTAATTTTTCTTTTCGAATTTGTAAATTTCAATTGTTGAATTGTTTTGTCAGTCTAAATTATTTATATAAATTCATAAAAAAATTTTCTTTTTTCATTTTTTTCTTAAAAATCAAACCTAACTCAAATATTCTATTCTAACTGTATTTCTGTTTAAAACATTATAAATATTATAAAATTCTGTTTTTAAAAACAAAAATTTAAATGACGAAAGAATATTTGAAGCGAATGTAAACCACAACGACGTCGTGAAATGCTCTTCAACACTCTTCTGCTGTCCATTTGCGCATATTTCATTTCAATTGCCGGACAATCATTTGTTGAAATTGCCGTTTTTTGGGCTGAAAATCGTGAAGATGCAACAGAATGGGCCCGATGGTTTCAGCTGGCAAGAATTGCAGCATTTGTTGACCCTCTGTTCAATCCATTGTTGGTGACATTGAGGATACCTGCAATGAATGCCAAGGTAATTGACTGGTTGATTGATTGATTTACTTTCATTGTCAAATTATTTGATGCTTATAATTAGTAATTTTATTGAAAATTGATTAAAAAGAAGAAATTTCAAATTAATATTTAATGATGGGAAATAACCTAATTATTTCTCTCTTTTCATCCTTTTCTCAATGTTTTCCTTTTTTGAAAATTTGTCAATTTTGTTTCATTCATTTTGTAGATTTTTTCAAAAAGTATATAACATGCTCAGCCACAATGTTGTACTTTCAGTTACAATGGATTGGTCGATGCATTAGCAATATGACATTGCTAATTTGTTGTCGTAAAAGAGTTAGGAAGGGAAGATCAAAGCAAAAACGAATTTTAGCATCGACAACCGGAATGTCTTCAACAAGTCCTCATACCGTACATTCCGATGATTTCTTTTCTAAGGTATATTTCCTGGTTATACATATGTAAATACCATCTGTTCGATCATCAGAATCCTATCCCAAAGTATACGAAATCAATGAATATTACCTATATATTCATCACATGCTTTGAAAATTAATAAACAATTAAAATTTTATTAAGTTTTTGCGCTTTGAATGTTCAAAATTAACGTTAGTTTAAATTTGATAATCAGCAAATTTGCAAAAAGTTTGAACTTTTGAATTGAAATTTGCAAAAGAATCTGGCCAAAATTTAACTTTCACTTTCTTTTCACATTCTCATAATCTTTGGCTTTTTGATTTTTTAGCTTAAAATATTTGAAGTTATGAAGAGAAGAGACATGTATTTTTTCGGATGTGGAAAGCTGAATGTTTTTTAAATTAAAATTCTTCCATTTAATTCTACTTTTTTTTTCAAGTTTTACTTATAGCTGTTATGCCATCGAAATTTACGGTCGAAATTCTCATCATCATATCGTCGCAGTCATAGCGGTACTGTATCTATTGGTAATAGATTTCACATAAAAGCATTTAATTTTGTCCTTCAAGATAGATTAGCTGGTTAAATTTAAAACAGATCCTCAATTATTTAAATCTCCTATTTGTTCATGTGCTCAACTTTAAAGTTTGTTAACTTTACAAAATTTAATCTTATGAATTAAACAATGTTGTTATCCTTTAGCGCACATATCTTACAGACTTGAAGACTGATTTCTTTTTTTCAAAATGCTCTTTGTTCCTTTTGTATATGTTTTTCTTTAAATTAATTTTTTTGTGAATAAATTTTTACTATCTAACTTAATTTGAACAAATAATGCCTGATTTCAAAAACGAGTGATTTAATAAAATTCGATTAAATGTGAAATAAATTTGTCATTTTATATCCTGAAATCGGACTGACAGGTTGTCATTGCCAAGCACTGCCATGGATTGGTAATTTAGTTAGATTTTCATGTAATTTTTAAGTAACTTAATAAAGTTTTTATGCATTGTACTTTATATGCGTGAAATGATATGCCTCAATTTGAATCCTTAAACTAATTTAATTCTCAGACTTTTTGAAATTTTAATTAGAATTTGCAAAAAAAACTTCAAAACTCCGACATGACAATGCAAATTAAATACATTTGCTAATTTTATCTTAAGAAAGCTAACCATCAAAATAGAAATTACTAAAATCACTGTCCTGATAATTTTGATATTATTCCAACAAATTCAATTATCTCAAATATCGGCCAAAGATGAAAGAAGTATATTAGAATTTAAGCAAACAATATCAGTTTAAAAAATTTTAATTGTTGGATTTCTTGAAGTGAATCGAATGACATACTGTGCTACAGTTCAAATTTATCTGAAGTAAAAAGTACGATTGGAACTTCAAGTTTAAGTTCAGAGCTTACTATCGTATCCTTCACTGATATAACTGTTTCCAGTCAGGAATCTTTTGATAACGATAATATTGTTTTACCGGAGAAAACTTACTCGAAAATCAGTAAATTTTTGCTAATTTTGCGAGAAAAAAGTTTTTGCCTTTCAAATTTTAAAGTTTTGAGAAATACTTTTTTCTTAAAAAAAAGGAGTGTTAAAAAAAACACTTCATAGTAATAGCTTGTTTATATAAATTTCAACTAAATATAACAATATCGAAAAAAAAGTTACAGCCCGAAAAGAAAATCTAACTGAAAAATCAGAAAAAGCAATCAAAATTTCAAATCAAACTAATTTACGAAAAAAGCAATCAGATTGCTACAAATTACACTTCGCGGAATGCTTCATTGCGTGTTATGCAAAACTGAAATTATTAAAATGCGCATGCAAAATAAGAGCCAAAAACTTTAAGCTTGAACCAGTCGATTCAATCATTTATGAAGTCATAATTGAACAGACATTTGGTAAATATTGATCCATTCATTTTTTACTAAGGCATTGGAATGAAATAAATGAAAAAAACTTTACAACTTTACAGAAATTTGTCAGAAAATAATAATTACAAAATTTTTTTGTTTGTTTTCTCCTAACTGTTTCAAAGTGAGTAATACAAATGCCAGAAGGTTAGAAATCAATCGATATTATATTTTCAGGCATAATCGCTTGAAATGGCTTGAAATTCCTTATGAATTATTCTTAAATTCAATTTTATGTCAAAAATTAAATTCAGCAAGATTTTGATATTGCCAATATTATCAAATGCATGGAAAATAATTGTTTACAAAAGATTTATAAAAATTTGCTGGAATTGAAGATTTTTTTTAAAAATTTAAAATTTTCAGCTAAATTGTCTTCAACAGCAATTAATATTTCTCCCAAAAATATCACCAAGCTTGTCTTATCAAATATTTCGCTATCATCAACAATCAGTGAAGGTTGTACATATCCGGAAACATTTACGGATGAGCGAACTCAAAAAGATTCGGGAACTGACAATTGCATCTCGAAAAACACTCAGTTAGATAAATAATAAATTACTTTAAGCAAAAAGGAAATATATTAAGTAAACATAAAAAGTTTTCATTAATGTGCCCAAAAAAGATGAAATCAACCATTATTATAAATGGTATATATTTTTCATACTTTTTCTTTGATAGTTTTTTTGTAGTAGCTAAATTAAAAAATAAAAAAAAAGAGATGAAATTTTCAATATTTTGTTTGTAATTGGTTTTGGAAAAGAAAAAATTTCAAGTATGAATATTTTAAGTACAATTACTTTTAAAGCAGAAAATTTTCAGGTCCAAAAACAAAAATTCAAAGAAAATTATACAAAAATATTATGAAACAACATCAAAAAAAGTGCTCATCTTTAATGCTTTTCCGGAAACTTTCCGAAATAGGAATGGAAGCATTTATAGTGATATTATCATTAAATGGTTGGAATATATGCCATCGCATGTTATGATCAACAGGTATGTGTGTGTGTAGAATATTATAACTATACTCGTGAAGAAGAAAAAGATGATAGATTAGTTTCAAATTTCAGTTCCTTACCATTAATTAAAATGTTAATTTTTGAAACAAACAAAAAGTTATTAATTGCGCCATCTAAAATAAAATAATTTAATTAATTTACATCATAAATAGAAATAATAATGTTAGAAAAATCTTTTGTTATACACTATCACTATATTTATTACTTCAGAGTTTATAATTTTGATAAAATGATTGAATCGATTAAATTGATTGAACAAGAAATCAGTGCAATCGAGTCAGTATGTTTGCGTAAAAAGTTAAATATGGGTAAAAAATTGGAATTATTATGAGACATCAATTTTTCCTCATTGTGCCATCTCTTCATATTAGTTATGTGTACTTGATCTCAATTACCACCTATTTTTATATTTAATTCCATTCGTCATTTATTCGTATTTAATTTCAATTTTAGGAGATTTCGCAACTAATGAAAGCTTGCAAATCGATGATGAGAAGAGTACTGTGATGAATGTGAGTGAAATGTTAAATGAAACCTTACGAACACTCAATGATCTGATTATCGATGTCTGTAAAAATAACTCCAATGCTGAGAGTTAATTAATTATCGAGTTCGGGATGGGGCGAGAGAAGCCTAGTTGTAGTGATCAAATAGATGGAAACTGTGCAAGCAATAGATGAATACAAAACTTTTCTCGATAACAATTACATTTAGCATTATCGTTTCCATTTTAATTTAATTCGCAAAAGGATAATTAAAAATAAAATGATGCATGGATAAGGAAACGATATGGTGAAGTGATAAAAGGTTATCACCTAATATTGCTGAACAAATTTTTTATCAAACATTATTTAAATTACTTTTCTATTTTATTTCATTTGCAGCTTAACTTTTCGTCGTCAATTAAATATTAGATTAGATATATTGCAAAATTTCCGCAATTAATATTTGCCATTTCATTGTCATTTTTGTGGAAATTTTTTTGAAACTTTATTTTAACAAATAACGAAGAAAATTAAACCATACTTCATATACAAATAAAAATAATAGAAATATACAAAGCAAACTGGAAGAGATGCGGCACTTGAAATGTTTGAAAGGAAAAAAAATGAAATCGTTGAATTAATAGGATGAGAAATTTCAGCTGAATTGAAAATAAATTGAAATATTAAATAGTGAAACTTCCATCTCAATTTTTGTTGCACTTATCACAACATCATTTCGAACATATCATTAAATTCCTATCCAATTCAAACATTTTAAATTGAAATATTGCAAATCGATAGCTGCATTTATGATGGTATCTCAACCTGTATATCTTCCGCATCTACCTTACCATTTATTTGATAATACATATCGACAACACGTTTCCAATCAATTATTGTTTCGATATTCCAATCACCACTTTTTCCCAATTCTTCGTTCTGACCACGTCGAATTTCTAAAATAGAAAATTAAAGAAAAAAGTTTTTAGATACTCCAATTTTTGTTATACAAACTTTAAAATTTTTGATATTTAAGCTTTTAGAAAAATAAAATTTTTGGGTACTCTGAATTTCAATTTAATACTTACAGTAATAAATTGATTAATCCAAATAATCGATTCATTAAGTACTAAATTACTAAATTGCAAGTACCAAATTGAATTGTTGGAAAGTTTTAAGATTTAATTTTACGTAAACTCATGTTAACACCCATCATTTGACATTACTGTAAAAAAAATGGAAGTATAAAATCAGATCAAATAGAGGAAAAAGTACTCATTGTTCCCTTCGTTCCTAAGATTTGAGATCTTCCTGAATTTTCTAAATTGCTTTAGTGAAAGTTGAGAAGAAAATGATACCAGCAGTATCATCGTCAGCTAAAATAGCTGGACTGAGACGGCCCGTATCACCGCTCATCGAAAATGCATCAATGTTCTCTTCATGCCTAAGATCTTGCTGAGCTTTTTGCGTACATAATTTTACTGAAATTAAATTTAGAAAAAATTAGTTTAACATTAAACCCAAACTAACAAATGCAACTTCCGCAAATCACATATCTTCAAAAATTCAAATTCATTTCAAAATAATATTTGAAAAAATTTAATTTAAATATAATTTAAATTTGTTAAATGTTTACCCATTCTGAAGTGTTTATTAATTTGTGCTCTAAATTAAGTATGCATAATTGTTAATGAAAAAATAGCATACAGTTATTTCTATAAGCAACTTTGAGAACAACAATCAACTTCGTTAACATATTGATAGGAGCCGGAGTAGCGGAACGTTTATTCATTTGCCGGATTAGAATTGCACGACCGAATTTCCATTCCTTATCCGATTGCGCTTGGATCCGCTGATATGTATCAGACATCATTGCAATCAATAAATTTATTAAAACCTAAAAAATTTTCAGTTCAAATTTTTAGTAAGTGAATTTAAATTTTTAATCAAAATTTTTTTATTAAGTTTAAAATTGAGTCCTCAATTGCACATTAAATATTAGAATAAGGTTGCAGAGTTTTAGAAAGTTACTTACAATTAAAGTAACTAATAGATAGATTCCAAAAATCATTTTTAAAATAATCTTTCCAAAATCAGGAACTAAATGAAGTGGTGGCATCGTATCCGGTTCCACTAATCCGAACAGTGAGAAAAACAACATTTCAAGAGTTTGCTCGGGTGATGAAAGACGCATCCATTGCGCATCATCCGCATTCGCAGGCTGATATGCTGGCTGCAACTTTCATTTCAATTACTCATGCATTTTTCTTTCAAAACATATTTAGTATAGAATTAATATATTGAGATGTGAAAATTGATATAAAGATACAAAATGATTTATCGATTAAGCTTTAAATTTTTTCAAAGTTGCAATTTTGGATTTTTAATGCTTTATGTAATGCTGCAATATGGAAGTGCTGTTTTTGGTGAATTCATAATACAATTCTATTTTTAATAATAAAATTCTATTTTTAATATGAATACTTCGAAAAATATCTGTTCTATTTATTATTTTAATTACCTGAAATATAGAGGTGACATGCAGAGTAAAACCAGCTATGAAGAGTAATAATATCACAAGAAACCTTAAAAAAAAAACAAAAAATAATTGAATAATTAAAATACGATAAGTGACATACAAAATAACTAAAATTAATTGAAATCAAAATCTTTAATATATTTGATTGAACATTTCAATGTAAAATGGAAGCATAGCAATCCTATTCCTTTCTTTTTTCGTTATTTTATCGAACACTTCCATTTTATTACTATCATTTCTTCGTGTTCATATGAAATTGAACAAGCGTGAAATTAAGTGCAAATAAACAACTGTTGGAAACAAAAGGATAGTAAATTTTGATTAAATTATAATTTCAAAATAATTAATTATAAAATAATTATATTACATAAACTATTGATCAGTGATGTGATCTAAAATAGGGATTAAATATTACAAAAAATATTGATTAATAAAAATAGTTTAAAGTAGAATTAATATAATAATCTAGAATGAAAAATTAAAAATAATAAAATTGCAAAAAAAAGGTCTTGCCTGAGAAGATCGTACATAAGATCCCGTATAATAATAGCCCATGGACCGAATAAATGATGAACAGTGAGGAAGTCCAAAAATTCAACGAAGGAAAATAATAAGGCAAGCGCAAATAGTTGATTTTTTAAATAGAGCATTGTTCGTACAAAATGCATCTTTTCGTCATCGTTCAAATGATGCATGAATAAAATGGGTAGCACGAATGCAAGAACGTGCACTGCTATTGCAATTGCACTAAGTATTAAAATTAGTACCTGAAATGTACCATTTCTTAATTACAATTTTCATAGATTACTTGAAGTGCATTTGCATGCATGCATATGAAATATTTTTTCTTTTCTTTTCGTTGATTTCATTTGCTGAAAATTAAAAAAATGATGAAACAAATTATTCTTATAGTTGATGTTATCTTTGAATTGATTTTTATTTAACTTTATTTGATTACACGAAACAAATGTATGATATTAAAAGATTAGGCTTATCAGAGTAATAATCAGAAATATTGACTATCATGATAAGCCCTGATAATCTTAACCATTCAATATCATATATTCATTTATCCGCCATAAAGATGCGCTCAGTGCTAATAAGATTATAGCAAACATGAAGCGCATGATTATGAATTCACAAAAAATATCTAATTGAAAGTAGTTTGCATGCATTGATCTGTGCATGAATAATGCAAGTATTACACATTAAAAATTTTCATTTTCCATTAATTGGAAAATTAGCGGAAAATGAAAAAAAAATTTTTGGACATAATTTTTGAACAAAATAATTTTTAAACCGTAATTGATCAATAAATTGCATGGATGATGGCAATTTAATTTAAAAATGTAAGAATTCGTCTTGACATATCCAACCTTAACAATTCCAAGACCTGAACCACCGCCTACATTAGACAGCTCGGAGACGAGATTTCCGGACAGCCACAGAAGCAATAACCATTCAACCGGATTCGGCACGATACTTCGTACTTCGTAAATTTTATGTGTCAGACTGAGTACCACAATTGTAAGTAAAATTGTAAAGTATATATGTGACACTAAAATGATTTCATTATGCATAGGCTTATTTCATTTTTGTCAGATGCTAAGGAAAATATGAGTATAAATGAGTTGAAAAAAAATAATAGAAGGAATTTTTTGTAAGATTAGAAATGATTTAAATTTGTTAGTAATTTTAAATATACCAATATGACAAACGAATTTGATAATTGGAGCACGTCCAATACGTGTATCAAGCGGTAGCGAGAAATAGAACCAAGCTGGTGGACAGATAAGTACCATTAATGTGAATGCAACCGTTTTACCAAATGACCATTCCACACGTCCGGTCCAGATTTCCGTAAGATAACGCTGTACTGAGGCATAGGAAACTACTTCTTTCTGAAAATAAATGAGGAAAAAAAAACTTCTAAATATATGCCAACAAATTTGTCTATTTAATTTTATTTTACTCGTAATTTACTTACCTGTTCATTTTCAATTAATACATCCAAAAGCGGTCGGCCACGATTATCCTTTGCTTTCAACAACAATGCCGGATTGTACTCCCTTGCTGTTATACCGAGCAATTCAACGGCCATATCTTCTGCGAATTGCGAAACATTTAACAGATCTTTGGCTCGTTCCTATGTGAAAGTAAACTTTATTAAATTGATGAATTTGATTTTTAAGCAATCAATTATTAATTACATAAAATATATCATTCGCATCCTCTTTTCAAGTTATTTTGAAATTTCACCATTAAAGTCTTATATGTAAGAAACAGAAATCAACAACGCAATATTCTTAATTATTTGAAGTTTGCACATTCTATCAGATGCTCAAATACAAAATGTCCAACCGTACACCTAATTAATTTGACCATCATTTCTCTAACAACTTTCCTTCAACACTATTGTTATTAGCGTTATCATTGCATTAACACTGAAACTTTTCTTATCATCACTATCGGTTCTTTTTTAAATTCTTTTTTATGACATATTATATTATATTTAATTATTAACACCAACCAATATTGATGATACATATTGTTAGCAATAAGACACCTGATATATTATGTCATATTTAATTGTCATATTTAATTATTTAAGTTATCGTTCAAAATTTCATTATTAATTCAAACTTAAAAAAAGAAAGCGTTGCAAAGGAAGTGAATAGCAGAGCGACATGCTTTTCTTTTTTTGTTTCAATTTTTTGAATTTCTAACAGAAATAGGAATCTAATAATTAAAAAGAAATCATTCTTACTTTTTCCTTTTCACTCATTTCATGATATAAAGCTGATAGCTTAACAGCAGTATCAATTGGTGCTGGACTTTGCAAAATAAATTCTTTTAGTGGTTCATTATCATTCGTTTTACCACAAACCATTAGATCAAAAATGAACTATAAAAGTTAACACTTAAAGTTAATCAATTAATTTGTAGAGATTAACTTTAAACTTTACAGGAAAATTTTATTGAAAGTTCAATTAACATATTTTTGACAAATTAAACTGTTACCTTTCGATCATCCATTAATGCATGCGTATCGTGATTTTGTTTCATTAGAAAACGTAAACAGTCAACATGATTGTGTGCAGCGGCGAAACACAAAGGTATCTAAAACCGCATTGCAATATATTGTATACCATAAATTTTATAATTCAAATTTAAAAATTCTGAATTTAATCTTTACCTTTCCTTCTTTCGTTTCTGCTTGTGCATCAGCTGAACTCTTTACAAACAACCTGACAACATTCAAATGACCTGCTTGAGTGGCATAATGCATCCCTGTCCATCCATTCTCGAAACATTTAAATTTATAATTAATATTTTGAAAATTTATGAAAATTTAAAAAAAATCGAGTTTCGGAAGATTTTTGTTATTTATTGATTGATTTTAAAATAGCGGGCATTCAAAGGCAATAAAAGTAAAAGATTATATGAATTTGAATCGTCTTACTTATATCGTAATTTTGCGTTTCTGTTAAGTGTAAATTCGAATTAGAAACTGTACAAAAAACTAAAACATAATGCTAAAATATGAAGATAACCAAAGTTAATGCAAAAAATTATAACCCAAATTAAATAACCGTAAATGTGCAATGAACCTGATCCATGACGTTAATATTCGATCCTTGGGCAATAAGTAATGAAACCATTTCGTAATGTCCATTCATTGAAGCCAAATGTAATGGTGTTCGTCCACGCCAATCTTTTGCATGCTGTTGTTGAGTTGACCGCGATAAAAGCATCCCGACTACCGCGATATGACCCTGCTGAGCTGCGAGATGGAGAGGTATAACACTCTGAAAAAGATCATTGATAACTAAAATAAATAATAGAAATGAAAGAGGAATTTGTTTAGAAGAAAAATATTCCTTCAAAAAAAAAATCAAAAATAAAAGAAAATTCAAATATATTTATTATTGAATAAAAATCAGAATTCGAATTCATTCAACAATTTGAAAAATTAAAAAGAAATTATGGATAAATTCATCTTTCATATTTTTTTCTTTTTGTAAATGTACGAATGAATAAATTGAGATATTTTTAATATCTCAATGATTGATATCGGAATTGAAAGAATGACAACCATGGTGGTTGAAGTAGCATCCACTTGAACTCCCTGATTCAATAACATTCGTACCAATGAGTCATGTCCAGATTGTGCTGCCAAATGTAAAGGTGTAAAGCCATACTGTAAAAATTTGATATAAACTTTTCAGATAAAAAATTAGCGCTATTTTCCATTAATTCATATTAAATACTTAAAAGCAAAAAAAAGGAAAATTTAAGATTAAATATTAAAAGTCATTCTGATTTAAATTAAAACTACGGTTAATTTTTCATTTTTTTTTGATAAATTAAAAAAAATTCACTTTAGAATATGTGGCAGATGCAAAATAAAAGGTATGAGTCAAAGGTCAGAAAGGTAAAGTAACATTACTTTCTTACTTCGGTTGCAAATTCTTTCACAACATAGTGATTATAAATTGGTGGTTCGGATCGTAAATTTGCTGGTACATATTTTAACATTTCCATCACAAAATCTGAATTCCCATAATAAGCAGCTATATGAAGCGCATTTAAGCCGGTCTAAAAATGGATGAAATTTCGATAAAGCTATATGTTTCCTTATTGTAAACTTTTGCAAAGATAAGCAACTAGAAGTTAAAAATTAAATTTCGCTTCTTTTTTTTACTTCGTTTCTAACAAATGTTTCTTTAACAATTCTTTAACAATATTAGGATACCTTTTTTGAACATTTCTTCCATAATGATTGATCGAAAACATTGAGAATGGAAGCAAAACCATTCTTAGCACCCAAATGAAGCGCAGTCATCCCATGCTAATTAATTAAATAATCAACAAAATAAATTAAAACAGAAAATTGTAAAAATTTAAATTGTCTTAAAATCTCAAATCACATAAAAACTATTGATGGCATATTTTAGAGATGAGAATAGAAGTATTGATTGATTATCAATTTATTAGTTTAATTTAGCTGTCGCGAATTTCGATTCGCGAAACTTCAACCATAAATAAATAATCAAATAAATTTCTTATTGTAAACAAATGTTCCTAATATCATCACTCATTCAATTAATTCTGCATTTCTTCAAATTATTTCCTATGACATTCTTGTTTTTAACCAAATCCTCATCTTTGTATTCACACATTTTG